TTGCTAGGGCCCCACAGTGGGCACCAAATTATAGATGGTAAATTCTACAGTTGAGAAAATTAAGTCGGTCAGGCCACTAGCAATCCTACGAAAAAGTAGAACGAAGAAGAAAGACCGCAAAAAGATCTCAAGAGGACATTGGTGTGGTGCCGACCAAAGACCCTCCGACGATCAAGTCAGAAAAGTTTTTCAAGAATTCTAGGAATACTAGACCAAAAGAGAAGAAATAACTCAGAGTAAAATAGTATTTGTTTTTTTTGTACCTGAACGTAAGACTGACTACGGAATTTATAGCAGTGGGATAACCGTCTCGGCAGGATGGACAAGGGCTCTGCGAGATTTGTTCGTTGGAACTGATAAGATCTATTCAGTTGATATATCATATTTGCTTTCAGATAACTTATATTTGATCTGGTCAAATCGTAGTGTGATTTATTTTGAAGACAAATTATCAAGGATTGCGAATTGACACGTGGGTCTTATTTAGCCCGATCGACGTAACGAACTGGGCCAAAATATATTGTGTTTATCAAGTGGGCCATCCGTGGGCCTTATTTTTTGGACTTGGGCCGTTTGGGCTAGTGGAACAATTTTATATTTATACCCTATTAAAGTATGAAATCATGACATATATTAGATTATCCATTTTGGCTCTATTTTTATAAAATGTATTTTTTCTATTTCTTATTTTCAATTACGCATTTTTTAATTAAATAATATTACACTTAAATTCAAAATTTTTTCTAATTTTTAATCCACGCATTCTCCAAAAAATCACTATTCCAAAATACATTTTTCTTCAAAATTCAGTGCTTATTTGAGCCCCATTTTTGTTAGAAAAATGCATTTTTGAATAGTGTATTGACGGAAAATGTGTAGTTAAAAAATAAGAAAAAGTTTTAAGTTTGCGTATAATATTATTTTATAAAATATGTGGTCAACAATGCATTTTTTTTTTTTGGAGACTTAAGCAAGGGCTTAATTTTGAAGTAGCCCAAACACTTACAAAGTTTTTTGAGAGTTGAAAAAACATCCTCTCTTCTATTGATCCACCCTTGAGCGATTCAAACTCATATTAAGCCCTTGTTTGATTTTCATTATTTTTCTATCTATTATTTTTAACTATACATTTTTCAATAAAATAATATTACACGTAAATCCAAAAAAATTTCTTATTTTTTTATCACACAATTTTCTTCAAATCACTATTTTAAAACACATTTTGTCAAAAAATGGGGCTGAAACAAGTTATAAAATTGAATTTGACAGAATTTCAAATATGTATACAATTGTCAATTGAGCAAAGAATAGATGCTTGGTAATCTTTAAATAAATTTTTTTTATCAAACATATTTCTTGTCTACACATTTTATAAGATCTATAATTAATCACCACTCACTTGTTATTTACACATTTCATGGGACTCGTTGAGATATCAACTTAAGAAATTGTGTCTATAAGCACTATTGGCCAATTTTGTTATCCACACATTTTATTGATTCCACAAATACTACCCACTTTTTCGCTACTCAATTCTCTATTTATAAACACTTCCCGACGGCTCTTTGAATCTTTACTTCCAAAGATAGTCAATCACTATCTTCAACTCCAAGGTTAAGTGGTTGTTTGGTAGAGGATAAATTCATATTTTTAGTAGATTTTGATAAAAATCGATGAAATGTGTAGTTGAAAAGTTATGGGTCTTATGAAATGTGTGATTAAAATTAATTGTTGACTTTCACTTGAGATTTTAATTAGGATTTTAATCCAAACCAAACAGGGGCTAAATGTATTGTGAGTACTAATTTTCAACAAAAGTGCAAGCGTGTTCTTATCTTTTATTTTGAGCAATTAGGTCAACCGACTTTGATTTGTGTTCAATAGTGAGAGCCTGTTTGGTAGGGATTTTTGGGGGGAAAATTGATTTTGAATAGTGATATGATGGGAAATGTGTGGTTGAAAAAGAAGAAAAGATTATTGATGTGATAGAAAATATTATTTTATTGAAGAATGTGTGGTTGAAAATGAGAATTGATTTATTATTTTGGGGGAAGAATTGATTTTGAATAGTGATATGATGGGAAATGTGTGGTTGAAAAAGAAGAAAAAAGTATTGATGTGATGGAAAATATTATTTTATTGAAGAATGTGTGGTTGAAAATAAGAATTGATTTGAGAATTGATTTGAGAATCAGAAACAAACAGGGCCTGATTACCATTAGTCTAACTAACGTGATGCACTGAAGTGGATGTTAAAACTAACATGAGGATGAACCACTTAAATACACTTTTAAAGAACACTCAAACAAAAAAATCACATTTTTCGGCATATTAAAATGAAGACTTCAAGGGAGAAAAAATATTTTTAATCGTTTTTCATTCTTCATACACGTTAATGTCCACATTAGCGTATCATGTTACTTAAGACCAATGACAATAGATGGAGTGGAAGTTAAGTGACTTAATAGCTCACAATTAAAGATGAATGACTCGATTACACGTTCATTGAAAGTTTAGAGACTGACAATGCATCTAGGAAATAAATAAATACAAAAGGCTAACCTAATTAACATATAGCCCCCGTTTGATTTACATTATTTTTTTCATTCTCATTCTTCTACTCATTTTCAATCACACATTTTTCAATAAAATAATATTTTTCAATCACATCTCCCCCCTTTTCCTTCTTTTTCATATGTCACCCCCTATGTCAAACTTGATGTTCTCTTAGCAAAATTCATAATAAGCCCATGTTTGGTACACATTAAAATTTTCATTTTCATTCTTCTACTCATTTTCAACCACATATTTTTAATAAAATAATATTTTAAAACAACTAGGACAAAAATAATCAATTCCTATATATTTTCAAACAGAGTTCTTTTTGCAAAATCGATTTTGCTACGAGTACATCACGATGTACATCACGGTGTCCACCCCTTTCACATGGAGTGAGACCCACTTAAATAAAAAATATTTTATACAAGTGGATCCCACCCCCACGTGAGGGTGGACACCTTGGAGTACAAGTAGATTTATCCTTTCAAAATTTCCTTCTTCTCTGGCCATTCCCCTTCGGTTGGATCCCGCAATCAGAACATTATTTCTCAATTCTGAACTCTTAGGGTTGAAGCATTGACGCACCAGTTTTCCTCAGGTACGTTTCTGGAAACTGTGGTAAAATAGTACTTGAAGATGTGGTCAAGATGTTCAAATAAAAGATTTATGAAAAGTAGGGCAGTATGTAATTAGGGCTTCGGAATTATATAATAAAACTAATTTGGTGCTATTGACAGTTAGGGCGATTATTAGTTACGGTAACATTTATATAAATTTTGCACCATAATAAAGCACAAGCTTTTTATCTATTTTTTTGGTGAAAAAAAAAAAAGAAATTTTTATTTTTGATGTAAATCTTTTGTTATTAGAATTAGAACACCATTTACTTGCATTAGGACAAACGTGATGTACGTGAGAGGTTGCGGGTTAATACTTAGGGTAGGATTCGCTAATACTAATGAAAGAACTCAGACTAATTGTTGTAGGATTTTTTCCTCTTGCTAGGAAACTTAAATTTTACTTATGTAGCATAATGCCGCTCGTAAGGGGAGTTTGACTTTGTTCTGCATGGATAGTAATTATAGGGGAGTAGAAAAGGGAGTTAAATAATGAGTGAAACTGAATAATTTTATTTTTTAAATATAACTTTGAGTAATATTATTTAGGGGTTATTTGTTTCTGATTCTCAAAATCAATACTCATTTTCAACCACACATTTTTCAATAAAATAATATTTTTTATCACATTAATAATTTTTCCTTCTTTTTCAACCATATATTCTTTATCAATCTATTATTTTATAATACATTCTTCCAAAATAACGTAGCTACGTAGTACCCATGGGAAGGAAATAATAAAAAGCATAAAACAACTAGGACAAAAATAATCAATTCCTATATATTTTCAAACGGAGTTCATTTTTCAAAATTTCCTTCTTCTCTGGCCATTTCCCTTCAGTTGGATCCCGCAATCAGAACAGTATTTCTTAATTCTGAACTCTTAGGGTTGAAGCATTGACGCACCAGTTTTCCTCAGGTACGTTTCTGGAAACTGTGGTAAAATAGTACTTGAAGATGTGGTCAAGATGTTCAAATAAAAGATTTATGAAAAGTTGGGCAGTATGTAATTAGGGCTTCGGAATTATACAATAAAACTAATTTGGTGCTATTGACAGTTAGGGCGATTATTAGTTACGGTAACATTTATATAAATTTTGCACCATAATACAGCACAAGCTTTTTTATCTATTTTTTTGGTGAAAAAAAATAAGAAATTTTTATTTTTGATGTAAATCTTTTTTTATTAGAATTAGAACACCATTTACTTGCATTAGGACAAACGTGATGTACGTGAGAGGTTGCGGGTTAATACTAATGAAAGAACTCAGACTAATTGTTGTAGGATTTTTTCCTCTTGCTAGGAAACTTAAAATTTACTTATGTAGCATAATGCCGCTCGTAAGGGGAGTTTGACTTTGTTCTGCATGGATAGTAATTATAGGGGAGGTCTTTTCCCTCAATTTATTACTCACCGGCTATTGGAAAATTGTACAAAACTATATAGACTCCAAGAATAGGGGGCTTGGGTAAGAGTGCTGTTGGATGTACTTGGGTATTTGGGTTTAAGAAATATTATGTGATTGTCTTGATTTTTTATGTAGTAAAGTTTCTTCTGTTTTGGAGTTCTCCATATATTGTAATTTTAATTTTATATTTTTTCAATGTTATTCTTGACATTTCTTGGAGGATCTTGAGGGGTGAATCTGGAAATAATTCCAGATTCCCAACAATTATAAGGGTGACAGAAAGGTGAGACTATAATTTAGGAAAAGGAGTAACAAATATTTTTGCACTTCTTCTTGCAGGCTGCGATTGCCACAAAATTGTAGCATGAGATATTGATTCCTAGTCACCAGTAGTTCAACCGGTGTAGTAAAGACAATGGATCAACTTCTAGATGACTTATTTTGCAAAAGGTACTTCTCTTTAGAAATTAGAACAAATATGTTTGACTTATTCCATCAACTTGATCCTTCATTCTTTATTTGCTACTGAAATATCCTTTTATGATACTGATTTCAGCTTCATTTAATGTTTATCAGGGGATCAACAAGGGAAAGAGCACTGTCTTTGATAACTGAGGACTTTACCATCAACTATCGCCATCAGTTTTCCCAAAAGAAGTAATCAACTCATTCCTTCGAAATAATTTACCTTCTCCTTCTCCAACATCACTAGCTTTTAGATCTGACTCATTTCCTCAAGGGAAAATTTAAATGATTTAATACCCTGTAGGCACCAGTGGAATTAGACAGTATTTGCACATAAAACCAAATGATAACCTAAAACATAAGGAAAAGAACTAGCTGATTTAATGGTGTAAAATGTAATCTGTCTCCAGTTAGAGGTTCTAACATCAGATTCTATATTCTTCTGTAATACAGATGTTCTTCATAAAAGCTGTTTAATAGTTTCACAAACTATTCTAATTGGTTACACTGGTGTAGAATCTGTATTTAATTGCTGATCCCACTTCCTACAGGAACTGTCTTGGCTAGTTATATACAAATATGAAATATCCATTGTAGTTAGGTGGAAGATAATTCTGTGTGTATAAATGACATTTATCTCTTCACTGTGGCTAATTTCTTGCAGTTTTGCTACTTTACTGTACCGATTCTTATATTCCTTCAAGAAGGGGTCTTCCAAAGAGATTGCTTTAGCTTCTCATGCACTCGGTTAGTTTAGCACTTCTATGCAAGATTTTAATCTTTTGTATCTTTTTGTTTTATCCATTGCATTCTGCTTATAATGACTTCTATTGTTACATGTACAGGATTGCTGGCTGTCACAATAGGTTGTGGGGATGATGCTCATGAACTTTACAATGAGTCACTTCCCTTGATCTCAAAAGCTCTCAAATCCGGGACTGAATCTTCATTGTTATCTGTATGTATGTTACTTGGTAATTGGTTTCTAAATGCTGCAGCTTTTTAGTCAATCATTTTGGTTCTCAAACTTATGTATTATACAAATTCAATTCTACTATCTTACTATCTCCTTTCTTTCATGTTCTTTTGGGGTAGGGATGGACTGTAACTGATTTTGTATGTTGTATGTAGATCATTGACTGTTTGGCTATTGTGACATTTGTTGGCGGAAGTAATTTTCAGGAGACAGAAACATCCATGAAGATGTTATGGCAATTCATTCACCTAGAATCCGATGATAATGTATGTACATAATATGTTGTCCTTTCTATGACTTATGTTTTGACTCTGTATATCCTGGCAATGACGCATCAGTGGCAGATATATGATAAAGAATCCCCATCTATTAAACTGAGGCCCAATAGATAGGGGGTGAAATCTAAACATGAGTTTATGCACTTAGTGATATATTAGGTTTGTGGAATCCGACAACTAAAATTTAAGTTCAGTCATTAATTTTCCGCAGTTGCCAATTGCTTGTAGCCTTTTTTCCTCTTCCTTCTTTGTTTTCTATCTCTTTGCATTTGTTGTTTTAACTGACTGAAACTCTAAAAGTTAGTCCAAGGCAACCAAAGGGGAAAAAAAGAAGCAAAACCTGACTGATACAACTTATCCAATTATGTTGCTCATTTATTTCTTTGTTTTGTTACCTTTATGTTTATTCATTAAATGATGTAATCTTGGCTGTTTAATTCTTAATGCCACAATGAAACTCAACATTGCCTAGAACTTGCAAACATCATTTTTCTATTCATTGCTTTAGATCTTCAATAAATCTAGCAACAAACAGAATGGAATGGCAGAGAGGGGTTCATGTAACTTCCCCGAATATATTGGCAAACAGACTTAGTTTGTTGTTGTTGATTACATTCTGATGTGTTCTTGATTAAATGAATCAAAATTAGAGCTAAATTACTGGAAATTTACAGATGGCAGAACCGAAACAGTGGTATTTCTATTTTTATATATGCAAACTACATGGGCGTTTGTATTTCTGGTGCTGAATGATGAATTATATTGAATTACTATATGCGCTGAATGCAATTACTGATAAATGGCCAGCTTTTGGGAGGCTGCCTCTCTCCCCATTTTCATCGCCTAATTTCTGCCTAAAAGAATATAGAACTCTCTCCCCCTATTTTTTAGTTAGAAGCCTGAACATTTATTCTAATAGTTCCCCATAATATCCCTCTCCTACTTTAAGAAATATTCCTGTACCTGTTGGGGCATATCACGTTCATACCATTTTTTTATTTTTGTTTCTTATCTTACCGATATTAAGCCAAAATTATGTGGTCCTCCTTTTCCTAGGTTGTAGCAAAGAAACATTCATCAGCTGTTCTTTCTGCTGCTATTTCTGCTTGGTCACTTCTTCTCACAACCGTCGATGGCTGGAACATTAATTACAACTACTGGAAAGGGTGAGTAGAACCTCATGAATAGTTATCCAGCATCAGCTGTACTATTGGCTCTAGGTTTAGAGATTCAGTGGATGTTTATTGTGAAAATTGTGTAATAGCTTTTCCATGCTGCTCATGCATTCAAGAAATCCAGTTTATTGCTAATTATTAACTGCTTAGTTTAGGATTAAAACTCACTCTAGAATGAACAGTTTCCGCATTAATTTTTTCCAGAGGAATTTCTGTCTTTCTGGATCTTCTACAAGTGGACGAGCCATCTGTTTGTATTGCGGCTGGTGAAGCACTAGCTTTAATATGTGAAGTTGGTTTTCTTGAGAAATCTGTCTTTGATACCCACAGTGCTGATATTGGTACAGATGAAAAGGAAAATGACTTGTTAAAACAATATTCGTCTATGAAAGAGTTACAAGAAAAAGTATCCAGACATGTCAGGAGTCATTTTCAACAAACTGCCAATAAGAGTTCAGCCAGTAATTCTCTCAATGAACGACACAAATTTTGTAGGGATCTTTTGAATGTCCTAGAGGTATTTCTTTATCTTGTTTTAAAGTTATTGACGAACAATTCTCCTCAATAAACTGATTATATATCATCTGATTTTTAGGATGGCTGTTTTTGTAAGACTGCATTGAAGATTGGTAAACAGAGTTTAGAGATAAATTCATGGTCCCAGTTGCTGCAGGTATTTTTCTCTCTCGTGATGTTGTTAATGTTCCCTGTTTGATATTTTTATATTCTAACTTTATCCTGTGTATTTTTACAGGTTAACTTTCTGAAACATATTTTAAGACGTGGATTTGTGAAACACATGCTGGTTGGTTTTTTCCTCCTTACTAGTCCTTTTGTCTTGGAAATAATCTGTTGTTTTTGAATTAGAATAATGCTGTTTACTTAACCATAGGAAAATGAGTTTCTTCATGATGTTTTCAACTTCACGCCGAGAAAATCAACTTCAGGGAATGAACTTTATGTATCTGAAAGAGAAGAGGTCTATTTCATTTCTTATTTTCCTTCTCTTTTTGCTTTATAAGTGGTTCTCCAGATAATTACTAGAACCCAGCATTTTCTACACATTTTTTATGTCTAAATTTTGTTTGATTTAGGCCACTATTAAGATTTTTGTGCCTGAAATCAGAACAAGAGATGATGAAGATTTTCCTGAGGTAAATTTTCTAAGCTTATTTGAAGGTCTACATCGTGGTCTTCACTCTTCAAACTCGTGTCCAAATTTTAAAAATGGTGCAATTATTTTTTATAATTTACAGTATTTGTTGTATAAAGCAACGATCATTTGTCTTTTGACTCTTTGCCTTTTTCCTTCTCTTGGAGAAAATGGAGTAACATTTCAGTTGTGGTCTTTGAGATGGTACTTTGTTTGACACTTTTTTGTTGCAATGCAGAAAATTCGTAGGGCGCCCAGCTCTGCTTTCCGCAAGGCAAAGACTCAATTATTAAACAAGCAGCGTGTCGCAAAAGGTACCTACCTTATCATGATGTTCTCTTCAAAAAATACTCTGTTTATAGCAATAATCAAATTTCCTCCAGTGTTGTTGTAAATTTAAATTTGAGCTCGTTTTTACATGATCAGGTAAAGAGCTTTGGCCATCCCATGATTAATATTGGGAATGTAGCAGCAGCAATGACTCTGTAGAAGTAATTGCTTCTATAGGCATGTAATAACTTTGTCGGAAGGTTTCAACTCTCCTCGTTCAATCAAATCCTACACATTATTTATTTATTTCCTTATTTAGTATATTTAATCTAGTTTCATTTTCTTTATATAGGACATGTTATGTCGACTTTTCATAAGGAAACATTATGGTAGGCATTGATAGAGTAGATTATTGTAGGTAGTTATTATTTTCCTATTTTGATAATCATATGTAACCCCAAAAATGGGGTCATTTACTTAGTAATAATTATTATTATTATTTATTTTTTGATGTCTCTTCGACTATTATTACCATCCTACCTTGTCATATTCGTCCTCTTGGTGATAAATCAGTTGGAAGTGTTCATTTTATTTTATTTTTTGGCTCCTGGAAGTATTAATGTCACGTTGAAATGTATATAATTACTTTTGAATAATTGCTGCATGAAAAATTACATGATGAATGTTGGACAGAAAATACACTGTCAATTCTCATTGCTATTTTGGTCAAGAGGAGAAAGTTGGTGGCAAGTAGATAAGCAGATCATAAAGAACTGAACTTAAAAAAGGATCTCCTCCTCCATGATGGATTCAGAGTTTAGTCCAACATAGACATGACCTTTCTAGATAAGCTGCTACAGGTACAATGTCATTTGTTGGTTTTTTGGATCTTGCTACATCTACATCAAAGTTGACATAAATGTTTACATAATACTACATGACACTTTATTATTTGCCAATTTAAAACACAGTCATTTTTTTCATACAATCATTGCCCTTCAAATCATCTTCTCGCACTGCATCTGGACGTTGCCTTTTGTACAACTAGCATAATTCGTTTTAGAATTCATTACTAGAGGAGATAAGTCCACTTTCAGCCTGTGTAAATGTTATTAGTTCATTACACCTAAACATAGAACTGCACCTCTAAACCCGATGATAGTACCTAGAATCTTCTGTGTTGGTCGACCCAACATGCATTCCTTCAGAAGCCACTTGACGGTGATGGGCTGCTAATAGTTTCTTGAGTGAACCAAGTCGCAAATGAGATTAATGAGCACGAGACGGGACAAGAACATCTCCAATCGTGATGTAAAATATATCTAAATTGTGATTTAGATCTCCAAAGTTACCGGAAACATCTCCAATGGAGATATGCAAAAGAAATGCAAATTACATTTTTGGGCAAAGCCGAGATAAAATGTGGATTTAAATCTTTCCATTAGAGTAAAATTTGAATTTAGATACACTGAAATGTAAAAGTGGATGCAAAAGTAATTTTGGAGATATTAATTTATACTCAATTTTACACTACAATTGAAAATGCCGACTTATTTAGGGCGTATCGGTAGAGATTAAAATTGAAAAACTAGCCGTCATTGTTGGCTTTTAGTAGATGAGTGAGATTCATTGACGTCTATATTTTCAATTTTAATTGAATTTTAAGAAAAATCGAACACGCCCTCTTTTTATGTATTTTCGTGTCTGTTTATATTTGATTTGTTTTTGAAAGCTGGAATTTCCACTTAGCAAAGAACGTCTGAAACTCACTGTCCTGAATTATAATTTCTCTTCAATTTCTTATTTCCATAATCAAAATCAAATAAAAAGAAATTAATTGCAAATTTCACTTAAAAACTTCTGAAATTGAAATCACGCCTCAGCTTTATAACTTCGATCACAACTTGTGCTGCGAGTGAAATTGGTTAAATCGTGCACACGATTAGGTGGAGTTACGTATAGGAAAATTACAAAACACACCCTATAAAGTCTGCACTTTAACATTTTTACAGTTTTGTAATAAAAAAACAACTTTGGCTAAAAAAAAATTAAATTTTTTTACTAGAAATAGTTAAATAGATCAAAATATCCATAACAAAAAATAACAATCACACACTAGTTATATTAAATTATGTAAAACTTTATACACCAATATTTTAAACTATTTTTATTCTCCAAAAGTTCAATCACTATTTCAATTTCATCTAAAAAATTAATTTTATTATCTCATTCATCTATTTCCCCATAAATTAATATTCACTTGAGTCTTCGCATAGCATCTATATTATTCTCTTATGAATCTTTTTCGCAGAACAGAAAAAAAAACCATCTGCAATAAATTCCAATAGTTTAGCCCCCATCATTTGAAATTTTAATGGTTGGAATATTGTTTTTTTAAAAAATATATGGTTAAAAAAGAATAAAAATTTTTGAGATTACGTGCAATATTATTTTATTGAAAAATGTGTAGTTAATAAAAAGAAAAAGGAAAAATGAATTATTAATTTTAATGGGGCCAAACAGGGGCTAAGTTACCCTAACTTAAAATGAGTAGGAATTGATTTTTAGCTACAAAATGACAATAAATATAAAAATTTATTTTAATTATTTTTTTTTCATTGAAGAAAAATTATTAATGAGAAGAACAATTAATAATTTTTATTTGTTTTTGACAGTGTTGAAAGAGTCAAATGAAATATTTTATATATATTTTGAACATTTTATTAACTTACTGAAATTAATTTTTATTAATTTTGATAGAGTTTAGGAAGATCATAATTAATTTTACACCGCAAAAAAATCCTTCAAAGAAAAAAAAACTAACGAAAAATCAACAATTAGTAAATAGCATACAAATTATTACACAAGGTAAAATATAGGGTGTGATTTGTTATTTGAGTTGTAATATTGTGTATTCATCTATTTATAATGTCATATTTGAAAATTCGAAGTTATTTGCGTTAAAGGTAATATTGTCCATTCATCTATTTACAATGTCATGTTTGCAAATTCTTCAACAAATGGTGTTTTTTTGTAATAACGATTGTGTTAAGATATGGTAAGATATGATTTACATAATGATGGTGTGGTAAGATATGATTGAGTCAAAATTTCTTCGACCAAAAACAAAAAATTCTTCACTCTCTTTTTGATATCTTATCTGTATGTAAACTATTATATAACTCCATTATGTAGAAGTAACATTATTCATATCTTACCACATAATGTGTCTGTAAAATATTATATAAAATTTCTTCAATCAAATAATAATAATAATAATAATAATAATAATAATAATAATAAATCTTCAATCTCTTTTTGACACCTCATCTATATGTGAATCATTATATTACTCCATTCATGTATGTATAATAATGGCATGCATGTAGAATTTTATTAAGTAAAAGCAATTACCAATCAAATCATTCTTAAAGGTTGTGTGTAAGGACTCATCATAATAAAGGCCAATATATTTTGGAAATATGAATTTCTATTCAAATCCAATTGAGATTTAAATTAAATTTTTACTGGTCAATGGATATGCTTTTAGAACTACAAACTTTGATGGACCAAAATTTCTAGGATGTTAGCCTATTTGTTTCAGACACGTTTCCAAAATTCTTGAAAAATCAAAAAAGGTTTTCTATTTCTTATTCAAATTCAAAAACTTTACATAAACTTTAACTAAAGAACTTAACTTATTTACATGCTCAAAACAAACATTTTTTGTGCTCTCCGTATTTCCCATTGAAAGATCAGCGTACAAACATTTTTCACGGAAAGTGGCCAGATTAAGATAAAAGAAGTTCATGCATGTCACTTAAATGCTACCATCATGTCATATCTTATTTATGTGTTGCATGCATCGCATTTTGTTTAATGGACATCAATATTAATAATCGTAGTGCGACTTCTTTGAATTTGTGAATCAAGTTGGAAGCAATCATCAAGTGTCAAGAATATTGATGTGTGACAGAAGTAGATGTTTGGTCCTACTACCCTAATTGTCTCTAGTATCATGGACATCTTGAGTATGTTGCCTCGTCAACTTGTCTCTTGCCCAGTGCCTAGTGGTTGTTGTTTGCCCCGAAGAGTCAGGCATGATTTGCACTTGTCAAAATATCGAGCAATCGAACAACTGCTGCATGACATTTAATAGACGAGTAACGCTATATATCTTTATTAAGGATGATCCTCGTATGATGTGGTACTAAATGTCTCATATTTAGTTTTATCATTTCATATCAACAGCCACAAAGATAGGTGATGATCTCTAATGGAGATACTCTTAATAGACAGCTCTCCCTCTTACACATGTTTTAAAGGAAATTTAGCATAGATATCTCTACAATATCAATGGATACAAAATTATCCACTTTTTGAAGAAGGTGTTCAAAAATGTCATTTTTTGGGTGCAAATTGTCCCAATTACCCTTAGATATCTTTTTGAATGCATTTATTGCTCTATTAATGCTTGAATTTGATGTTTAACTTCTTGATGAAGATACACATGAATCTACCTATTATACAATGAATAATAAATTGTTAATAAAAAAAGTTCTTTCATATCCTTCCATGCACCTTAAATACACTCTCATCGGTTGCTAACTGTCAAGATCGATAGTTTAAATGTTAATTTCGACATTTCGTAACTGTCGGGATAAATATTGTAATTTTTCATCTAATCAATATGCAATTATTTGGTAAAATTTATTCGCAGGTGCCTCATATATGCATGTAAAGCCGAATATATTAAATTTGTGTAGAATGCTTACCATATCGTTTGCTTAATCAGGTATGAGTGATACTTAGAAATTCATCGTGTCGTATAGAGGACAAGTGGCGAGAGAACACTTCAATCGTAGTTCCAAATAATATTACTTTAGCAGGACTTATCCTACGTTGATGGAGAAATTTCGAATGCCTATCACGCAATGTTCAAGTTTGTTTTAATGATTTATATGATTTTTGTGTAAATTTCAACGATAACATTCATTGTATGTGTAATACTTGTCAATTCGTGATTTAACTTTAGTTTGATGTACTATTCTTACATTAGTTGTTGATCATTTGTAGTTGTAATCAATGAATATGTATGAATCACCAGCCTCATTCAATTTTATTCATTAGATTTAATTCAAAAAAATAGATAAATTAACAATTACGTAATATAGGTAAATTCCAC